AGGCCTGGTGGTAGCTGGGCAGGCCGCCGCGCAGCGTGCACAGCGCGTCGCCGGCCAGGAAGCGCAGGTGCGCGTCGATGCGCGCGATGCGGCGTCGGCGGGTGGGCGGGGGTGGGGCGTCGGCGTGGGGGCGCACCGCCAGCGTCTTCAGCACGGGGCTCAGCAGGCTGGGCGCTGTTCGATTAAAATTTATTTGGGGGAAAGGGGGGAAACGGTGAGAAGGGATGGGTGGAGGGGAGGGGGGGGCGATCGGGCGTGGAAGGGGGAGTGTGATGGAGACTGAGTAAATCATAGTGAGCGCCGCCCGGCAGAGCACCATCATTACAGGATGGAATCGCCCATCGTCTCCCACTTCACTTGCCCCCCCCCCCAAAACAAGAGAAATCACCATGCAGGACGTCGTGCAGGTCGTCCAGCTCGGCGTCGCTGGCGAGGTCCAGGACGGCAAAGAGGTCGGGGTCCATGTAGTGTTCATGAGAAGGCCGGCTGGGGGAGGACGGTGCGGCTCGGAGGGCAGATCGAGATCTGACCGTGGGAGGCTGGATGTTGACGGGGGCCACCCTTTGCGCCGACCATGCTCTCGCTGGGACCGGGACTGGCGCCCGCAGAGACATCATAATCGAGGAACTAAAGGCGGATGTGTTGTGGATGTGTGACCAGCAAAACTCGTCGGAGCCCTGTAGCACCTAGATTGATTTTCAAAGGGCCCAGAGCGAAATGCAATCAGGGCGGGCAAACAACAAAAAGCCCCCCGCCATGTCGCTGCGGTATTCCTGTGGCTAAAGTGGCAATCACTAACTTATTGCTGAGAAGAGATTGTTGAGCTGATGGTCCGAGCAGCAAGAATCACTTTCAGCTATGGAGTTGTGCGCCCACCCGTGGAGCATCGAATCCGATCACATGGATCTGGGAGTCGCCCAGTTTTGTTGGGCTGGCGCTCCCAAGAGACGCGACGCAGGGTGGGAATCGTCGTCTGCTCATTGAAGACTTTGAAAAGCTGAAGAGGGGACAATGAAGGGCTCACTGCGAATCAATGAGTGCCAAGCAATTTTTGAAGAAACCTATCTTGTCTACAGGCAAGTGGTGCGAACAGTCTACTCCCATATCACAGAATTCTTCGTGCACACTCCTGCCCCTCAAACACACATTGTGCCAGGGAGTGCACATCTCCAAGCTTCTCATCGAGGACTCCCACAGGCCGTGCTGAGACTCTGCTCACAACGGTTGCAGCTGACAATCCCTGCCGTCTCGCTCCAATCCCAATCCCGTGAGACCAGCATGCCATAAACTATCAAGGCAAAGCTGGGCCTGAGGCCCAGTGACCCTGCTCCAACCCACTTCAAACACTCAGCCGTAGCCTAGAGCATTCCTTCCGCTTACATCGTGCCGTCCGACACTAGTTGGGTCCATCCCGAGCAGGTGACCAGAGGTGGTGCATTCCAAGGGAAGGTGAAAAGCCCCCACGGCATCGAGCATGTCTCACTTGGCCATGGGGTTGGCAGAGATGTAGGACACGGCCTCGGCGACAGATGTGATCTTGTCCGCCTCTTGGTCCGGGATCTCAATGGCAAACTCCTCCTCCAACGCCATCACCAGCTCCACACTGTCCAGGGAGTCCAGGCCAAGATCGCTGGCAAACGCTGCGGATTCTGTCACCTGTACAGGTCATACAGGAGGCAATGGGTGAGGATGGGGGGCAGCAAGGCGTGGAACCACACCCATGCATGTGGGGGGTTGGGGACCAGTGGGGGCCAGCGTCGAGCCTCTGCGCGCTGCACCCTGCATGCTCGCATCTCTAGAGCGAACATAAGCATCGATTGCCATCCATGAGAAGATGTGCCCGGAGCTCATTGCTACGTCTTCACAGGTATCATATGCATTCCGTAACTGCGTCATCCCTCCCGCACGCACCTTGCTGCCGTCCACGCGGTCAAAGTTCTTGATGACATCCGTCACCCGCTTGACCACCTCATCCTTATCCAAGTATGACGCGGCAGCAAACCCGCGCAGGCTGGTGAGGGAGGGGGTTGCGTTCAGGTTGAGGCGGGCCACCACGCCCTGTCGCACAGCGGCCACGGTGCGCTGCAAGAAAGCCATGACTCCAGCTACTCCCGATCCGGCGTCTCGTGCAAGGGTTGGGGTAGACCAGGCGAGGAGGGCCGGCATGGGGACGCCCTGTTTATGTGGAGCAAGTGCGTGACTCACTTTCCACCCGAACCCTGCCCGCCCTCGTCGCCACATTCAGGGGGTGGAGGGTATGCGAATCCAAAGCCTGTTCCTCGCCTGCACCTGGCATGCATGCAGCGCCGAGCGTGTGTGATCTGTCTGCACACTGGTTTGTCCAGCACAGTCCGTAGATTCAATATTCTCCAAGTTTCCATGATGATGGCATTACAGAAGTTAAGTGCAGTGCCGACACTGCAGGACTCGAGCACCGACTCATGCTCCCAGGGCACTCGCGGCAAAGCCCCGGCCCCTCCACCCTCGTGACGTGTTCCTGCCCAATTGGATGCCTCGTCGACCCATGGCCTCGGCCGGCAGGATCTTGTCAAAGAACGAGGGCAGGTCGCCAGGCCTGTGTGTGGCTTCCTGGGCCGCAGCGGAGGGGGTGTCCAGGGGACTATTTGAGGGCAGGCGCGGTCGGGACCGCGTGTACCCCGGCTTGGGCAGGATGCTGCCGGAGGCCAGGCCCCCACACAGCTGCCGGACCTGCAGGATGGCGGGGGTTTGGAGAGAGATGTTGCTGCTCGGAATCATGCTGGGATATTCTGGCCCCCCAAGCAGGCAGGATGTGGGGCTGTTCTGCGCGATTGCACCCCCGACAATGGCCCTCAAGCACATCGCTCAATTCCCAAGCCTGGAATAGAGCTCACCCGCTCGCCCTGGTCTGTGTACCGCCACCGCACTCGCACGGGGGCGTGCGTCTGGGGGTCCACCAGGGCAACGTTGCTATAGTGGATGGGGCCCTCTAGGCTCAGGCTGCCCGCCGGTGTCTCTTTGGTGGCCTTGATGTGCCGCTTGACCTGGGGATGTGGAGTAGTAGTGGTAAGGGTGGGCCACGCAAGTGCTGCACAGTGATACCATGGTCCTGCCTCTTGGCCAGGGCGTCAATACGACGGGCGGCAGGCCGCGCCCAGCTTTACCCGCTCCCTGCCATACACCGCTCCCGCTCATAGAGACCCTGCACGTACCATGTTGGCGCCCTCCACGACCACACGGGGCCACTGCCGATCGCGCAAGACTTCCTTCACGGTGCCGATGCGGCCCTTGTCCCGACCGGCGGTGATTTGCACCTTGTCACCCTTCACGATTTTCCATGTGTTGGACTCAAACATGGGCTTGAAAGCCCTCCTGTACCTGCCCATCCTGAGCGCCGCTGTGCAGGAGGGAGGCGATTCCTATGCGTACGGAAGGCTGGGGTGTATCTGATAAGCAATGAGTCAGAGGGAAGCTCAGGCCCTCGCGCAATATCTCTTCAATTTAAAGTTTGGTTTCCAAAGCATCCTGCGACTGCTGGGGCATTGTCTCCGGGAGGTTTGGGCACTTTGGGAGCGGGGAGCCAAAGCACGGCACAGCATGCAACAGCACCCGACCTCATGAAAGCGCATGTGTGGATCGGCGAGCTCATCGGGTTCCCAACTCCATGCACGTCAATTCTTGCGGAACATAATCTCCTCCAAGTACATCCAGCCCGTTGTCGCAGTGCCATGCGTGCGATCACGGCGTGTGCCGCATCTCACAGCCTGGCCCAACCCACCAGCCTGAGGCCCCCCCATGCCAGCCTACCAGCAGTGACTCTGGCCCCCGGCCCCAAGCCGGGGTCCATCCATCGCCTTCACCTCCTGCGCTTCGCCCTCCTTGCCCCCATGCTGTCTCCACCTGCTGTCCTAGGCCTGCCAGGCCTGCCGGTCCTTCAGGCTGGGGCGGCCGCCCTGGCAGACCCCGTGGGCGCCCACCTGCCAGGGGAGCGCCCTCTCACCGCCGTCCTGCTGCAGACGCTGCGGGAGTGCCAGGTGGCCATAGGGGCGTACCCCCCGTTTGCCTACGATGCGAGTGGGGGCACGGGGCGGGGCACGGTGCGACCCCGGCCCGACGGACTCTTGGACCTGGATTTTGATCCACGCAGGTGTGCTGTGGTGGTGCCAGTGCCGTTGCCTTGTGAATGGGAGTTGGGATGGAGCTGGATTACCTGTACCTGCTCTGACCTCGTCGGTGAGCACCAGTTCAACCCCCCCATCCCCCCAACACCCTGCAGCCTCGTCATCCCCAGCATCGACTCCCACACGACGAGTGTGCTGGGGGTGCCCCTCCCCCCGCCCCTGTCCATCGCCATCCAGCCCCTGTCCCTGAGCGGCACGCTGGACCCCGCCACGGGCAGCATGGAGTTGACCCTGGACGCGGACTTCCTGTTCACCGCAGGACCCCTCTACAAGGCGCCGCCCCTGCACGTGCACAGTTTGCTGAGCACGAAGGATGGAAAGGGCGAGGCGCTGAAGGCCAACGGGAGCGCGCGCCTGGCCGGGACCGCCACCGTGCCCCGCACCCCGGATGGGGCGCTGAACGCCTTCCTGGACCTGCCCACGGAGGCCCTGGCGGTGCTCTCCACCCACCTCACCTTTGTCTGAGGGGTGGGCGGGGGTTGTGGGGCTCATGGAGGGCTCACTTCACCGCTGGCGCCTGGGCTGTCTCGTCCTGAGCCTGCATGTGCTGGACGCATCCCCCTGGAAGTATCCTGTGAAGCTCACACAGCCAACTGGTGCTCCTTGGATGTGCTTGCTGGCACCACCGCAGCACTGATGTGCCCACATGCTCACCTGGGCAGCAATGCCCCGCAGTGCCCTCAGAGTGCGGCGAGAGGAAGAGTACAGGCTTTGCACTGTACGGAAATCAGCCTTACCATGGCGTGCCAAGCACACATAAAACTACTGGGCCTGCGCCCTGGGCGCCACCAGGTATCGGTGGTCCTTGGCTGCATTCTTCTTCCTCCGCTTCTCCATGTACTTCTCCAGCCGGCCGCTGGCCTTGAGCTCCTCAAACTTGGCCACCAGCTCCAGTCGCTTCTGCTCCGACTTCTTGAGGTGGAAGGGCGTCTTGCCCGCCTGTACTGCCGCCCGCTCCTTGCTCTGTCGCACCAATGGGGTGGGAGGAAGGGTGGATTGGTGGCGGCACGGAATGCAGTAGCACTCGCAGCGATGCCAGAGCGGGCTGCCTGCTCCCTGATCTGGCCATGGCAACTCTGAAGTTGGAAGAGGTCACCGCATGGCTTCCCTCCCCTCACCGCCGACGAGAGCGGCCGTGTTCCACGGCCAAAGTCCCGCCCGCTGGGTTTCTTTCCCCCCCGATACAACAACACAGCGCCACCCCCTTTTACCAGGCCCCCATCACAAACCTTCAGCTTGGCCTTGAAGTCGAGCTTCCACCGCCGAGCATTCTCCTCCCGCAGCGCTTGCTCCACCCGGGTCAGACGCGCCTGCAGGTCGGCCCGCGCCTCCGCGCCCTTGGCTTTCTTCAGCGCGGCGCGCAGGCCCTTGCGCTCCTCCGGCAGCTTCTCGTCGTACAGGAAAGCGTACTGGCTCTTGAAGCGGCGCTCGTCAAAGGCGCCCCCGGCCAGGGACTCAAAGCGTGGGTCCTTGCCCTGGGCGCGGGGGCCCTGGATGCTCTCCCGCAGCACCGGCACGGGGCGCTTGCTGCTGGCCTCCGAGGGCCGGTGCTTGTTCTCCCGGGGCTGGCGCCCCGCGCGCAGCGTAGTGCGCGCCCGGGCCCGCATGGCGGTGCGGTCGGTGCTGCCGTCCGCCAGCTGGGCGGCGCGCTGCCCAAGCGGCACCTCGTCGTCCTCCTCCTCCGCCTGGAAGGAGTGGAGGTAACAGGGCATGTTCAGCGACTAGAATGCAGGCTCCGGTGGCTGCAGGGCCGCGTGGAGATCAGGTACAGCCATTTGCAACATTCAGCCCCGGAGCACCTGGGAGTCCTCCTCGAGACTGGACGCGGCGCTGTCATCGTCGCTGTCTGACGCTGTCTCATATTCCGGCTCCCGGGCTCGCTTCCCTCTTTGCATGCCAGATACCTCCTCTGGGCCAGACATGCCATCGCTGCTGGTGTCGCTGGCGTTCTCCGGGGGCTCGCGCACGTGCTGGGGCACGGCACGTTTCACCCTCATCTTGTTACTCTCTGAAATACGGAACGCGATGAAGCTTAATATACGTACGCAGTGTGGAAGGGCCAATCTCGTTTCCCGGTTCTCTCATGTGCCAATGCTACCGGAGAGCAACCCAGAGCGCGCGCGCTCCCGCTCTCGCATACGACATCGCCTGCGCTGATAACCAGCTCGGAAGACAGGGCTGCATTGCCCAATGCGACCTTGGCGCACTGGGCGTTATAATTAGGCACCAATGACGTCGCACCATGATATACTGGAAGTAGGGCGTGCCCCGCCCTCCCGGTGATCACACGCGGGCCCAGCTGGCACCATGGGCACGAGCGGGGCCACCACCCGGCTGGACAAGCTCCTCAACCTCTTAAACTGTGAGTAGGAGGTGTGGTGGAGCTCAGCATCGGTTGTACGCGCTGATCGCTCCTGCAACCCCTGTCCCTGTCCCAATGGGTTGTTACCTATCCCACCTCCCCACCACCACCCTCGCAGGCGGGACATGCCCGGAGACCCGTCAGGAGGCCGGCAACCAGATCGTGGGCATCCTGCGCAGCCACCCCGAGCAGCTGCCCGGGGTGCTGGGCGCGGTGAGCGCCCTCCTGCGCAGCCCCAACTGGGACACCCGGCTCGCAGCAGCCAGGTGCCTGGGCTCCGCCGCGATGCACTTTGTGCACGCCACCCCCGCGGACATTGCCGCCGCCTCGGGCCTGGATGCCGTGGCCCTGGAGGCTGAGCTGGACCGTGAAGAGCCGATCCCTGACGGCACAGTGAAGGCGGAGCAGGACGGGGACGAGGGCCCCTTGACCCTGGAGAACCTGGACATCCAGGAGATCGTGGACAACTGCCCTCCACTCCTGGCCTCTGGGGGAGAGGTGAGGGGGGAGAGGTGGGGCGGGGGCGGCGGCCATGCCAGGTGCCGCACGTGTGGGTGCCTGACTGGGACGTTCGCCGCCGGGTCTGGCGAGCTTGGCCTGGCGCGCCGGCTTCTCACCTGCCCACAGACTCGAGTACGCCCTTCGTTGCATGTTGCCCCCTCCCCTCTCGACACCCCTCGCCCATTCTCCCGGGCCCTGCGCGCAGGAGTACGCGGCGCAGGCGGCCGAGGGTGTGGCGGCCCAGCGCTCGGCGCTGCGCAAGCGACTGGGCCTGGGCGGCGCGGCCGGCGGCTTCATGGACGACGCGGAGCTGTTCAAGGACGAGGACCTGCTGGCGGGGGCCCGCGAACCGGAGCCCAGCGCCGCCCAGCCCGAGCCTGCGCCCATCCAGGCCAGGGAGGGGTCGGCACGCTTGCGCCTCGCCTCCTCGCGCCGCCTGAAGGGCCTGAAGCGGGCGCAGGGCAGCGCCACCGGCGGCGGCCTGCTCCCCCCGCGCAAGTCCGCCAAGCTGGACGCCGGCGGCGGCGGCGGCGACCAGCCACAGGCAGGCGCGCCGAGCATCGACCCCGCCTGCCCCCCCGCCGCCGCCGCGCTGCGCTCCTCGGAGGCGGCCTGGGCTGCGGTGCTGGCGGGGGAGTGGCCGCTGCAGCGTGTGGCGGAGGGCCTGATCCCGGGCCTGCTGGCCGCGGAGTGGGAGACGCGGCACGGCGCGGCCGCCGCGCTTCGCGAGGTGCTGCGCCACGCGCCGCGCGCCGCGGGCGTGGCGGCCCCCCTGGCGCCCGACCCCGGCGGCTGGAGCGCGGCGGGCGGAGGCGGCGCGCTGGCCCTGGCGCGCCTGCCCACCGAACCGGCAAAGGCGCTGGCCGCCGAGGCGCTGCGCGCGAATCGCGCCTGGCTGGGCGGCTGCGCGGCGGCGCTGCTGGCGCTGCTGGCGCTGGACCGCTTCTCCGACTTCGTGGGCGACGGCGCGGTGGGGCCGACGCGTGAGACCGCGGCCCAGGCGCTGGGCGCGCTCTGCCCCGCACTGGGCCCCGCGGGCCTGCGGGCCCTGCTGCGCGCGCTGTGCGCGCTGGCGCGCTGCGACGTCTGGCAGGCGCGCCACGGCGGCGTGCTGGGCCTGCGCTGCGTCGTCGCGGCCATGGCCGAGTGCCGGGGGGAGGGGGCGACCGGGGACCTGGTCCACCTCGTCTTCCCCGCCGCCATGGACGCCC